AGGCCCCGAGGGGCCCCGGCCGGGCCGGGGGCTGTTGGCCGTCACCGCGCCTCGAAATCGAAGTGCAGAAAGTGGCGGTACGTCCCGAGGCAAGCGGGATGGCTTTCGGCTTTAAAATAAAGTCAGAAATCGTACTTTTGGCAGTTCTGCCTTCCCGTGTAGGGTTTGGGTCGCTGCACCCTCAACCCACAGGTCTTGCCCCGGTCATTGCCACCCGCCCGGTACAGAGGCAACGGAGGTGAGGTCTCGGCCCTCCCACCTTCTCCAGAATTTTCAAGTCCATGTAGGATTACTGCCTCCCCGCCCCGCCCTTGATTCCTCTGGCTCTCCCATTTCATCCCTAGTCCCATCTCCCTTCCCAGACTCACTCTTCATGCTCGCATTGTGCTTCCCATGTTACAGGCTGGAAAAGGTGCAGATAGGAGGGAGGTTTCTGTGATAAATCATCAGCACGAGTGGCAGGTGCAGATGGGAGGGAGTGGAGCCTTCCAGATCACCTGGTTTTTAGGCCTATTTTAGCTGAAGAGTAATTCAAAAAGCACATTGTTCACTTTAGCTACTGCAGGGATTTGCTCAGTACAACTCCTATACTTCAGAAATTAGGTGCAAAACCATAGTTATACCTTGGTTGATAAGCAACTAAGCTTTATTGTTAGTTGTCCTTCACTACAGCAGGTAAAGGAAGCAGTACAACCCATAGTGGCAGATTCTTCTACTGTGACATAAATGCACTAATGTAATTTAGTTAACTTCCAATTTAACTAAAATATGTCAGTTTGACTCATGAAAATCCATACCTGCATGTGCCCCCTTAGGCCTCCAAACTGGCGCCAGGTGCTGTCACAGATGGTTCTGCACCCCAGGGGCAGGGCAGGAGTGGTTCTGGAACAGTCCGCACAGAGGCACAGGACTGACTAGTGACGTTTCAAGTACACTTTTATTTTCCCTCATACGCAGTGATACAGCTAATTCACAAAAGAAATTCACACAGTGTGAACTCTCCCTGTAGGGCTGGTGTGTTATTTACAGTAATCGGTTCTGTCCGTCCCTTTGCTTGTTCCTCCGTTCCCCAAGGCAGTGAGCCATGGCAGCAGCTGTGGTCAATATTTCTCCTTTAACAATTTTTCTTCACCTGTGAAGCACTGCAGGCTGGCTGTAGCTCTTGTTCTTTCTCCAGGTTCTCATTTGCTTCAGCAATCAGTGTGGAAAGTTGGGGGTTTGGTATGAAATAAATGATGCAATAGTCTTGACTCCAGTGTGTTTCAGTGATTTGGCTGTAATTGTTTACTGTATTTTAATTCTCAAATACAGCTACTGATGTTACAGCTTTGTTTTTAAATCTAAGAATAACTCCCTGTTTATTGCATTGGGGTCGTTAACTGTTGTGGAGATTAGAATGAGCCAGGTAGCAGTACTGAGTAAATGCACTTTATGAAAGTCAGTGTTGTGTTTCTTTAAAAAAATGCAGAACTGAAAGGCCATCAAATCTTAAAGAAAGAAAGATCAAACTTAAACTAACAATTAAAGAAAGCAAAACTTTGAGGAAGATGTGATGATTCTGGACTTCTGGTCTGGTTTTAATGTAATGGTCCACAGAATCAGCAAATGCAAACTTCTCTGGGCTGTACCCCAGCTGACTTCGTGCCTTGTCTATTCGAAATGTATGAGTTATAGAAATGTTCTGTACCTTTAGGGCAAAAGAGTCAACATACAAACATATGAATACATAGGAAATGGGAACAAAGTCAGTGAAAGCACAGTTAAAGGAAATGTTAAATAAAAAACCCTACTACCCCACAACATTATATCAATGTTCTGTTGACATATAGTCCCATTATCTTTAAATTTGTTCACTCAAAAAGAGAATTTTGAAAGCCCAGAGGCAGTAAAAAGGGCAAAGCAGAATCTTCTAGCCTTGAAAGCATCCACAAAAAATGTTCTGCACTCATTTATGTATCAAAGGAGGCAGATAAAAGCCATCTCGTAATTGCCTAAATATCTTCAGAAATTAGGGTCCAACTGACCAGCTAAAGCCATACAGGATACTGGGCCTTGAAAGGAAGGAGCTGAAGGAGCCAGATGGGAAACTTAAGTGCTTCCCTTTTCAAAGATTATGGTAACAAGCATAATACATTGCCTAAAATGTACATGATGCATACATTTGCCCTGCAAATTGGGGGCTGAAGTAGTAGTAATGGGTGGATTTTACTTTCTACTAATTTAATCTTAAATTGTGCTTCAGTATTGACATGTATGTATGCATCCTGTGAGAATGAAGAGGAGTTCACAAAGAAAGACTACCTCATTTCTGGTCAGCAGTGGAGACAGTTCAACAAATGGTTTCAGCATCAGATGAAGGTATTCCATTATCATGGCTGCATAACAAAAGATTTTTACTTGAGATAGAAATAGTAAATGGCTCTTTTCAACACACTGCATACAACTGAACTACTACTACTACTACGACTAATACACCCCTAACTACTGCACACTAGATGAGCTCACAGCACATTATTTTTATACATGAAAATTTTAGGCAAATTAAAGAAATCCCACCATTATATTACAATTAGGAATGAGGGTCGTGTGGACAAGAAAGAGAAATGTTGATAAAATATTTTTACCTGATGCATAAACTAAGGAAGTAGGAATACGTATCCATGGTTTACTGCAACCTAATCTTTCAAACTGAAAGAGATTTAAAAAACAGTGAAAAAAATTGAAACCTCAAGCAAGTCTTTAAGTTTCAATACAGAAAATATTTGTGGAAATATTTACTGATAAACCAGAAAAAATTATCATTGCTGTTACTATTTGAGTGTTCATTTTTCAGGAGATTCCAGTTACATGTCACATGCAGACACTATGTAATTTTCAAGTGGCAGTCTTAAAAAAAGGAAAAAAAAGTCTATAATAATTGATTGGTCGTCGTGTGCTGATACCTAATTTAACATTGTGACATATTTATGGTTTTGAGCCCACTGTTAACAATAAAATGTTCTTTTGAAAAGACTGTATATTACAGATTAATAATTAGGAGTTATATTTTTTGTCCACCCAAAATAGCCACCATTAACAGATGCGTGTCCAAGAAATGAAGATAATGACAACTCAAAAGAGGATACTGGTTTAGATGGTCCTTTGGTCTCAGTGAGGACAGTTGCTCTAATGTAATATTTTAGGTAGGCTTTGTTACAGCCCTAATCACACTGAACTTGAAGAAGGAATTAAACCCACATTCAGAACGGAACTCTTACACCCAAAGCAAACATACCAAATGTAACATGCACACAAAAGCTGGAGTTGTATACAGTCAAAGAAATTAATGTATTTGGAGTTGAAGTGTATATTGCACGTACAAGTGGAGTTAACCATTCAAAAAGGTTGAATTTTTCGCCATCATTGATGAAATACACCTGGCCGCTCTGTTAAAGAGGTAGAGAAAAGTTAGTAAAAATAATACTGCATATATATTGACTTATTTTTCTTGATCTCACTCCTTATGAATAGCTTAAAAATAATACAGCAATATAAAATACGCATGGATGTACATACAAGTCAACAAACTAACGTGTTTCAATCAGTTGTACTAATATGTGCAATGAAATTGGGGGACAAGTGGTTTATGTGATTAACATGCCTTGGTATGAATTATTTGTTACAGATGTGCCTGTACAGAAGGGCTGAGCATTAGCAAATGTGGTGCCATATCTCACTTGTACGGTTAACACAAATTCACCAAATGGTGGGACATATTCTGCTCTCGGTCTAGTTATGACTCATTGAAATCCGTGAGACTCCATCTGTGTAACCAAGGCATAAGTTACCTCTTTGCCTTTTGCTTTTAGGGTTTTAGAAAAAGTATTTTAATCTACCTCAAAAATCTTTCTAGTAATACTTTAAGGGTAGTGCTTCTAGGTCAAATAAAAAACTGTGTTTACAGTTGCACCTATTTCTGAAATCAATCCAAATGAAATGTGCTTTTATTTGCTTATGGTATGGGAAGAACTGATTATCAGAGTTCAGAACATTAAGTCTGGATCTATATACAGGGGATAAATCTGCCTGACCTTCCAATTTCATTTCTGACATAGCATATATATAACATTCTTTGCTCATCTTCCAGAAATAGCAAATATTATATTACAAAAATGCAAAGATGGAGATGTTCTTACAGAACTGAATATTCCAACTCTTAGCACACTGCACAGCCAACGCTGCCAGGTTCCACACTGTTCATAGCACATTTGTCAACTAAAAATACAGAAAACAACATAAACTAAAGGACAATAACACAAATATTAATTACTGCTACTACAGTAGTTACTATAGTACAGGATAAAGTGGCAGGATCCACTGTCCAAACTGTGGTGCTTTTATTGTTCACTTACAGCTATGTAGTTCTTTTCAGGGGTGAGAGCTTCAGCAGCTAGAATTTGGGCTTGTACAAGATTCTCTGCATGCACCCAGTTCATTTTAGCAGAAGGATCCCCAAACTTGAAGCTAAGTAGCCCTCTCTCAATATTCTTCTGTAGACATAAGCAAACAGGAAACCAAAGCACAATGGGTTTTAAGATGAGGTACAATGCAGTTTCTTGTCCAGCTAATTGTAGGTTTGTCTACTTAAAAAAAAAATACATGAATCAATTAAAAATCAAGAAGTGTAGAGAGCTCTAAAAATATTGCTCATGAGGAAGGATCAAAGAACATATTGAACACAATATGGCCTGAATTTACAAAAAATACAAGTCTGTTCAAAGGATAAATAAAATACTGTATGGAAAGGTAAGATACAGTTCTGAATGGATCAAAGTGTTCACAAAATTGGAACAAATGTAACAAATAGCTTTGGCTGGGAGAAAATGGAAGGTAATGCTAGGTGTCACATTTTTCATTTAATGGGTACATTTTAGAAATTGCAAAATGTGGCAGTTGCATAATGCCCTGAAATGGGCTCATAAGAAGCTTAAATTCTTACATGGAAATTTTAAAAGTCTGTATTTTGGGGAGGGGGCTAAAGCAAACATCTCAAGTTTAACTAAAATTACATTTACCATTCTTAAAAGTTATTTTATTTAGAAGATTATAAACTATATTTTGACTGACTTCAGTATAATTCCCTACCTCAGCCACAAAATAAAGATATTTACTATTTACTATGCGGTAATCTTGAATCTGTTCTTTCCTCAAAGCTGTGTGTAACTTTATATTGTACTGATGCTTTTAAAGTAACTGACTCAATTCTATAGGGATCATATTCTAAACACTGTACTAGTCCTACACTTTAAAACACAGCAAGTGAAAAGTAAAACAAGAGCAGCCCGGCTGTTTGCCCTTTAGTAACCTATTGTACCAGAAGGTGCTTTCGACTCCTTAACTTGTTTCACTGGATCGTGAAAGCTGTTAATAGTTGAGACTGGAAATAAGATATTTTACTGTATCCCTTTTCATTAATATTTTAAACCGTTTAGTGTAAGTTGCATGCAAACAGACATTTTAAATATCACAGACTGGCCTGAATCTTATAGTAAGTGTTACATTATAAAGCTGGATTTAATATGTGTTTGAATTTCAAAAAAAGGGTTTTTAAATGTACTATACATTCTTTACAGATATAATATAGTTCCTGTTAACAAAGTTATATCACACTCAGCAGACAACTGAATTGTTGATTTGCTGCCTAATAGGAAGGTCAGTCAATTTATAGCACAAATAAGTGATGCTATTGTATATCATAGAAGAATCTGCTGATCAAAAAAATAAAATACATACTGCAAGCCTTGGCAAGTGTCTTTGCTCTTCTGGTCCATAGATTCCTGGTGGGCGAAGAACACATGTATAGAGCATTCCACCTCCTAGAAGAATTGGTAAAACCAGTCTTAAGTGACATTCACATGACTATATCTTTCTTTTTATGAACCAAAGGCTGTGGTAGCAGAACTTACTCTGAAATAAATTCACCATCTTAAAAAATAATACATACTGAAAGGTGTTGGATTAGTAGCTGGATATTAATTTGGCAGAATCAGAACATGAAAAACATCAAGATAAGATTCAATGAAGTCCTGCCAGCATAGTTGGATTCCTAGAAATTACCAGATATTTCAAACCTCTCTCTCACCAGTCCTTTGTCTCTGTACCAAAGCACCAGCTGTGGTGATGGGTTTGCTGAAGTGAGCAAGTTATTGGGAGGAAAGTGGAATGAAAACAACTAATCTCATACAGAATTATTGATGGGTAACAGTGACTCGCTAGCAGTACAGGATAGAGCTGAAAGGTTCTCAACAGTAGGCACAGTCACTAGAAGTGCTGTAGAAGCTCGTGATAATTTCAGTGGGAGAAAGGGTGGACCGTCATAAAAATCCAATCACTTCCCAAGTATATCAGTTGGCTGGTTCATCATCTGCTAATAGCTGTTCTTAACAGTACTTGAAAACATGCAAAATACTCAATCCTGCTATGGCACAGGATCAAAATGGGATGTTTGGAACACTAACTGGTTCCAATTTAATCAACAAATGCACAACTGTTTATTGCTCCTAAAATTAAGATGGTCTTTGATGTGAAGAGAAAATAAGGAAAAAAAACCCTTTATTTTTTAAAATAAATAATTCTATTGGGGTGGAATGCCCACCAATGACTTTATGTCTCTTTATAGCCCTCTGCAAGTATCAAGTGAAAAGAGTCTTTTCTGTAAGTTGTCTCCAGCTAAATTTAGCTCAGTATCACTTGGTCACATAGAATCATGTTGCACTTTACATTAGTTTGTTTTGCACTGGCAGTTATAGTATCTCACAGGTGAGCTTAAGTATTCAAGTGTATAACTGGCTTCCTCAACATGGAAAACTTCGGGAAGCACTAATAAATAATTCCAGGCCATAGTATCAGGTGGCTTCTTCAGATTTTAATATATAACTTGGGGCAGGGTGGGTAACAATTTAATCAGCATTCATGTTTTACTTATGTTGCATAGTACAGTGACATTAAACACTTGGTTTTGTTTAATTTATAGCTGTCTTCATCTTTTCAATTAACATACTGAACTAATTGCTAACATGCTGAAACTTTTTACAGATGCCATGGGTACTTAAAGTGAAAATCTTTTAATTTGTGTGAGAGCGTAGATAACTTGATTTTGTAATTGCACAATTCACAGTCTTGTCCACCAAGGATTGATACAGGATACAGGGTGGCAGTGAGGAATAAGAAGAGGAGGAGTAAATTCTATGAATTCATGCTAGGACAAAAGTACCTGCTAGTGGCGTTCCATTAGCTGCTAGTACCATTTGTTCTGCAATTGATTTGGTTCTGGAATAATGATCAACATGCTACAGAGAAAAAGGAAATATGTTTTTATCTGTTCTTGAAGTGACAGGGCAGAGGGGCATCTCTTCTCCACTAGTTTTTACTTAGTAGATGGCAACAAATACGTCAAAGTACAGAATTCATGGGTGATTAGTTTAGGGTAAAACACATGCACATTGCTAAGGTAAGCAAGCATTTTTGTTTATGCAAACCCAGTTAATTAATTTCAGCACATCTGAGAAGCAATAAATACATGTATGCTTTGAATGCTGCCAAGAATGTAACTGATCACTACTTTGTAATCCGGGTTTCTTTTTCAGGTAATGGAAAAGTCAAAAGCCAAGTTTTAAAGACATTATGATTGGACTGAATTATCTTGCTCACTTTCTTGTGGCACTCTCCCAGAGAAACTAGTATTTGATATATTATTCAAAATATAAATTCAATATTTTCTCTATCTATATTCTCTATATTTCTACTTCTTGAAAGACTGTGAAGTACTTGATGGAGAGAGGAGGGAAACAAAAAACAACTGTGTATACAAAGCACCCAGAAGTACTTTCTCCTTTATAATTAAATGCAATAAACCCACATAAAAATAGATTGCTTTCCCATATCAGCTCCACAATGAATATACGTCATCTCCAATAAGGGAGATGCAGAAAAATCATATAAATAATAAATGGCTATAGAGGCACCAAGCCATATAACACAACCTGTGTCCCCAGGTGGAATTTCATTAATGTTAACGGGACACGGTATGAGTTACTTTCCAAAGGCAAGGCCTTGATAGGAAACAAAGAAATATATACTGCAAAATACATGAAACTGCTATGTCGAGGTTGTGACTAGCATCTATGAAGAACGTAAAGAGTTTTCTTTCTTCTTTCTTGTACCTGGATTCTGGCATCAGGCAAAACATGGTCACAAAAACTTCAGGCTTTTTCAGAAACAAGAAAGTAAACAAAGAGGAAACTTGAAAATATAATACAACCAAAATACCTTTTCAATTGGAAAATATGGCACGGTTTCCTCATCACCATCTTCAATCGGAAGCCCTCCAAAGACCACGTTTACTGTACTGGTGTATATCAGTCTAGCAATGTTCCTTTGCTTGCAGGCTGCGGCAATGCGTAAAGTAAATTAGACTAGTGGAAAATGGAACTATGGAAAGGAAATTTGTATGAGATTTTCTGAGAAACTGACAAATGTTAAAAGAGGAAATCCTTCAATTTTATGATTGGGTGACTTAAAATGCAAAGCATATTTAAAGGGACAATGCCAGTTTAGAACCAAGTGCTTTATAATCTGGGACATGCTAATTTGGATGCTGCAAGCTAACAGTGTGCCTCTGGGAGGGCGGCTACCAGCCTACTGAGATGGGCTTCAGCTCTAGCCAGGCAGGTGGCTAGCAGCCCATCTGCCTCAAGGGCTGCCCGCTACCACAAGCTATTTGATAGCTATGAGGTTTACTGCCACAAAATACACATGGAAGCAGTTAACTCCTTACATGGATATGGATCCTGACATCAGATCAAATACAATTACAAAAAGCTGAAGGAGTTGAACTACAGTGCTGGCTATCATATCACACCCCACAGCAGAATCAAGCATGTAGAAAACCTGACATGTTTCCTCATCTTCTGCCAAAAATGTTAAGTATTTGGTAAAAAACAGTGTGTAGCAAAAAAGCCAACTGTCTGTTTCTAAGTGGTATAATATTTTGATATGCTGTACTAACACCCAATGGCAAGGTTAGATACCATACCATCAATGATGAATCTTGTTCCATGAACATTTACAGTTTCAATTTCTTCTCTGTGCAACTAGGAAAATAAAGAAATTGTGCATTTTAAAATAATAACACATTTTAAAATCAATAGGGAGATGTTATAAATGTCCTCAAATAAAAGTACTGAGTTTAGTGCTTTGATCATAAAAAAATCATTTAGACTGCAGTTTTTCAGACTTCAAGAATTCAAATCATTAAACTACGCTTGTTTTGGTTTTGGGTTTTTTTTGGTTTTTTTTTTTTGCATTTTTACAGACTAGTCTGCTTGAAGCAAAGAGAATCGTGGTGCTTCTGAACACACATTTCCAGTGATTGTACATCTTGCAGCAATATATTCAATATCTATGTTTCAGTAGCACTTCAGTGACCAATTCCAAGTATGCACTGCTCAATTGCAAACATCTCTAAATGAGCTATTTTGTCCAGCTAAGGTAATTACTGAAGTTTGTTTTATTAATTAAGATAAGAAAGGGGGTGGGGGTGGGTGTTTGTAACTTTAATCATAAAGACTGTGGCTCAGAGTCCTACATCGAGTTCACCCTTACAGCTTTTTACCCACCAATGGCAAACAGTTAAGACTTGAAATGCAGCCATTGTTATAATTTAGTTATAGAAAATAATTTAGAATTTACTTCAGGTTTCATTCCTCCCTGTGACCTTACAGCTAGGAATTGTGTATGAAAGGTTGAGGGAAAGATAAGGGGTTTGGAGGGAACCAGCCTCCCTTGCCTTTCTTTTTGTCCTTGTGTTATTTTCAGAACTCTTCAATGCCATTTCTGACTCAGAAGCCCTCCCAGGGTGCTGGTAGAGCCTCTAATGGGGAGGAAATAACTTTACAACTAGGCAAACAGTACTGTAAGCACACTGCTTGCAGCTAGCACAACAATTTGACAGAGCAATTTACCAAAACAGCCTGGTTCTGGATTCAGGCTCTCAAGATAATCTAAAGAGATAAAATCTAATATGCAGTGTTACATCACTGAGTCTCTCATCCTCAGTGTGGACAGTCACACAGGAAAATACAAAATGATTTGGACTTACTTGCTCTCTTCCTGACATTCCATATGAAGCTACATGAAACACACAGTCAGCCCCTTCACAGGCTGCAGATATGGCATCGTAATCCCTGACATCTGCCTGTAATACATATGAAAAGATAGTTGGACTTGAAATGGAAGCTGCAGGTTAGCATTTGTCATGTAGCAGGTCAGCAGAGCGGGAGTGCATATACATCACTGTACTTACTGTACATCCTGGGACTGAAAACTAGGCCCATTTCAATACTTGCTGATAATCATACTTTCTTCCATAGACATCCAAAGGACTTTAAAAACATTCATTAAGCCTCATAATCCCCCTATGTTCATTCTACAGGTGATTAAACTACAGCACAGGTGAGGGCAGTGACTGGGTCCTGAGGAGTACTTCAGAGTCAGGAGGGGAAGTGGGTACTCTGTGCTACGCATTACAGGTTGCACTGCTTTCCTTATTTCAGATGTACTTAAATCAGTTGACAAAAAAATCATGTGGGTTATTCACACAGTTAAAAAGGTTATTGAAATTTGCAATCATTTGCAATTAGGTATTTGGATTCTGTGAAAATTAGTAAGACATTATGGAAAAGGTAAACAAGCTAACTTTGGCTGTTGTGAAATTATTTTTCGTACCTGGATACACACTACTCCACTGGGAATTTTCCAGATAGGCTTGTGTATGTCATACAGAACAACAGAAGCTCCTGCACTGGCAAGAGCACATCCCAGCTTGTATCCAAAGTAGCCTCCGCCTCCTGTCACTACTGCTCTCATACTTTTTTCATTCCGTGCTCCAGCGTTTCTGTTCACTCCAGAGTTAGAGGTTTGGCGCCAGGGTGTTGCTACCCCACTCTGTATAAGTTTTCTGTCAGTGAAATACTGTCTTCTATTACCAGACACATGTAACAGCTTCTCCTCCATGTTGAAAATTGCTCCATAGCGCTCCTGGATGCAGACGATTCCAGTGAGCTTCATCTTAACAAGCTCTGTTCACAGCAGCAAAGTTTTCCTTTAATGCAACCTGTTTAAGAGAGATAAAGACAAAAGCAAACAGTAGCTATAAAATTTCCAGATTACAAAGATTTCTTTTAAAAGACTCATTTAAATTTTCTGCTTAGATTGTTTAAGTTTGTTTAATTTTAATTTTCACATTTTACAAACATTTAAAATGTCTGTATACGATATTAAAGACAGCATCCTGAAAACAAATAACAAAGGTTGTATGTTTTGGTTTAAATATATCCAAAATAATTCAAGAAAAGCTAAACAAAATAATTTCCCTACTGCATAGAACATGAATTCAAATGTTTTCCACAAATGGGTCAAAACTGAAATAACAGTACAGACCATATTTTTTTATTAGCAGAAGAGAAGTTGCTGCCTATGTGAAGTGCATCTCCTGGTCTTAGTTCAGTTCATTCTGGTTTGTGTCCCAGGTGACATAGGACCATACCTGAATTTGAAATCTTGAACTGTCAGGAAAACACTAATGATGAACAAATTGCATTTAAATTTCTGTGCTTAAAAAACAAGGAAGCAGGCCAAGCAGAACAGCAGCCGAACAGAACTTCTCCTAAAGCAAAGAAAGCTTTAATGCTTCTTCCACTTGTCCCCAGTTTATGACAAAGACAGACACCTCTGAGAAAAGTGGTATTCTCAACCCCTTTCTAAGTAGTGGCAGCTGAATGTAAGCTAAGAACACGCTGTGTTTTTATCCTTGGCAGTGATGGAGTTGAGATACACGAGGATTTCAGAAGGAAAGAGGAATGCCTGATAATTACTTTGCATCTTTAGAAGGTGTATCAGAGAACAAGGCTATCAAATCCCTCACTTTCCAGGGGAACTAGAATGAAAGAATTGCTATGTGACAGAAAGGCTCGGTGAGTATATTAAGAAAAAAGTAATAGGGAATCATTTATTTCTAAACGTGGTGGTTCTTCCCCGTCCAACGGTCCAGGGTTCATCCCTGACGGACAAGGCATTTTAGAGGCTGCAGCTACCGATTGCCTCGGTTACCCACATCCCTTCCCTGTGCCGCAATGAAAGATTAAAAGTCATCCGAGCTCCCGCAGCTATTCTCTGCATCTCCCTTATTGGAGATGACGTATATTCATTGTGGAGCTGATATGGGAAAGCAATCTATTTTTATGTGGGTTTATTGCATTTAATTATAAAGGAGAAAGTACTTCTGGGTGCTTTGTATACACAGTTGTTTTTTGTTTCCCTCCTC